TGTTCGTTGTTCGTGCCCTTCCTATAGCAAACCAGAACCGTTTTCGGGCGACGCGTAGGTTGCGTGAAATATCGGGAAGTTTCCCGGCATTGTTTGGGATAACCTTGCCCCCGCGCGCAGGAGGACTAACCCCTCTCTGTTCTCCCCTAGGAAGCTGCACAGCGGGATGAAGACTTACGGATGCGAGCTGTGCGGGAAGCGGTTCCTGGACAGCTTGCGGCTGCGAATGCACTTACTGGCTCACTCAGGTAGGTTGGAAGGGGGACGCTTGGGGCGGGACGGGGGGGGATGCTCGCTGGTGCCCACCCAGAGATGCTGCGGCCGCCCGGCTCACGCATCTCATCTAGAGGAGATGCCTGTGGAGCTGGCTGTACCCTTCCCAGGGCAGCACACTGCAAACTTGTTCTCCAATGCCCAGTAATTCGATTTACTTAGATTTTCTTTTTTGGAGTTTGTTTTCGGTTCCTTAATTGGGGAAATATTTTCCGGGCCAAGCAGCTTGCAGTAACAAACTCTACGTACCGCGCAGCTGCTTGTTGTCCAGCCCTGCTCGTAGCGTGAGCATCGCCTTCGCTTCGGCTCCCGTGTGCATCCCGGCACTGTGTTCCTCGCGTCCAGGCGCCCGCCGCAGTTTCATTAGCAAAACTGCTGCTGCGGAATTAGGCGTTCTCTGCCTAATGAATCTAACTAGCAGGTTCACATGTTGCAGGCCCTTTAATTAAAGAGATGGGGAAGGGCTGGAACGCTGCGCTGGTGGGAAGACTTGTGCTCTGCAACTCAATGTAGGCTGATGTTCCTGCTGGGCATGCAGCCCCTTATACAGCTGGGGGTTTAGTCTATGAAAAAAACGCAGGCGGCCGCCGGACCCCTTTGCTCGAACGCAGGTGGGACTCCCTGTCCCACTCGTTTGAGGGCAGATCACTTGGGGTGGCAGGCACTGCAGCCAAAGCTGTGCTTGTGGGTAGCTTCGCAAGGAAACTATATTATATTTTATATTTTTTTATGCATTTTTGTCCTTTTTTTTTTCCCCCTCTACGTTCATGGTTCTTTTTCCCCCTCTGCCCCTTGTACACGCCGAGGGGCACGGGGCAGGGACGTGCCTTGCCCGTACCCAGGGGAGCGGCGTGGGGCTGCCTTCCCCACGTTCCTTCTGGCCAGGCGGCGGGTTCTGCTTTTCAGGGCGTTGGAGCTGGCCCCGACCCCATCCCCACCTTGCCGCTTTTTGGGACGGGCACCGGCTCCCCAGGGTGCCCGCAGGCAGCGGCGGGTTGCTGGGGCTGGTCCCCGGGGTGTTGGTGTGTCCGTCCCCCCCCGCCACCGGCGGGCGGGGCGGCGGG